ATTGAAATGACTTTTTAAACACTCAAAATTATTATTATTCAAGTTCGGAAAGAGGAAAAAGTAGCACATTCACAGTTTTGTTCGCCTCTACAAAATATCGCAATAAATATTGTATTGTGAGATGTATTTGGATATTGTAGATTTGGATATTGTTACATCCCTAATCGTGAGCCTTCTCACCATATCGTGAACTTTCCCATGATATCACAATAAATATGGTACCATGAGGTTCATACTGTGATGATATCATTACACCCCTAGTATATATATAAAACCTTTTTGTAGTAAGTCTAATAATGTGATGTGTTGTGTTGCAGAGGCCTTTGGTTTGTCCTCTCCTGATAGTTACCACTATCTCCGTCAGTCGGGCTGCATCCACGACCAGACAATCAACGACAAATGCACTTTTAACGATGTTCTGGTAATTTTCTATTTTCATTCACTTCTGGTAAGGTTCAGTTTATCCCAGCGGTGGACAGGACATGTCAGCACTGAGGTCTGTGTGGACGCCAAAGACAAAGTGCCCAAACAAACCAAAACAAACACAGTGACACCGAGAGACACTATCACATAGACACTGAGTCAATCTCAGTGAAAACAGACTGAAGTATTGTATTGCATATTAATTCTTTTTTGTTTTCCCAGAATGCAATGCGCACGATGCAGTTCACAGAGGAGAACATAGCAGAGGTTTTGCGTCTTCTGTCGGGAATCCTCAACGCAGGAAATATTGAGTTTGAAACAGCAGGGGGCGCTCAGGTTGCAACCAAATCAGGTAAAAACATGCAAATAGATGAAATATACTTTTAACAAAGAGGACATCATATTCAAACTTGTATTTTTGAGCAGCTCTGAGTCGGACGGCGGAGCTGCTGGGGCTGAACTCCGAGCAGTTGTCCGAGGTCCTCACGCACCGCTCCATGATCCTCAGAGGAGAGGAGATCTGCACCCCTCTCACTGTGGAGCAGGTACCATACAGGCTTTTACTTTGAAAGTCTAACTACTAAAACTTGTAACATCTTGTATGTGGTCATCGGTTACTGTATAAATAATTATGCTCCATAACATATCTTCACATTAAAAAGGTTTCAAAAGGAGCGTTTCCTGGACCTCCAGAGGATAATACACAGTAGATAAAACTCAGTGGTGTTCTTTGGGAATGGAAGTCAATTTAAAGATGTAAAAAACCCAAGGCACTCACTGGTTCAAATAAAATGCCTTTATTAATTTACGTGTACCCAACTCTGTAAGTTGCCCATTAAGACATTAAATTGTCCATTAAGACATGCCATAAATTAATAAAGGCATTTTATTTGAACCAGTGAGTGCCTTGGGTTTTTGCATCTAATATCTTTACGTTATTTGTAACTCAAACATATTGTTGATTATTTGGAAGTGAATTATGGGTAAAGTTATTTCTTTATTTAACATTACTTAAATGATGTAAATGACTAAATCTGATCATCTCATCAGAAAGAGATCAGATGATTTTCCTTTTACATATAATTTAAATCACTTTATAATCCCCAAAATGTGATATTGACCACAACCAGTGAATGATCAGTATGAAATATTTGCACTTTTTTTAATCTATCTAAATCTAACTGCATTGTCTTTTCACTTTATTGCAGTGTTTTTATTAATATTTGTGTACTTTTCAAATTTGTATATGCTTTTTTATATTTTTCTTTAAAGTGCACTTCACAGTTAACATTTTTTTAAATTTCATCTCTTTCTCTCAATCTCTTTTTTAATTTAAATCTAACTGTATTGTTTTTTTTTTCATGACTTTATTACAGGATTTTAATTAATATTTGTCTACTTTTCTAATTTTATATGCCTTTTTTATATTTTTCTTTTAAAGTGCACTTACAGTTAACACTTAAAAAAAAAATTATCTCTTTCTCTCAATCTTTTTTAATCTAAATCTAACTGTATTTTTTTTTATCACTTTATTGTAGTGTTTTCATTAATATTTGTGTACTTTTCTCATTTTGATATACTTTTTAATATATTTTTTTAAAGTGCCCTCACAGTTAACGTAGTAAAACTGAGAAATGTCCCTGTGTCGTGTACAGGCGGTGGACTCTCGGGACTCCATGGCCATGGCACTTTACTCTCAGTGTTTTAACTGGATCATCCACAAACTCAACTCTCGTATCCAGGGCAAGAACGACTTCAGGTCCATCAGCATTCTCGACATCTTCGGCTTCGAGAACTTTGAGGTACGTCTGAAGTTCTACATTTACACGAGCACTGCCATACACTTCATTTCATTTCATTTATGGCTCGTCTTTATTTCCGTGATTTTTACATTGTAAATTCTCACTGAAAGCATCAAAACAATGAATAAACACGTATGGAAGGTAGCTGACAAAACATAATGTCAAAACTTGTTTTAGATTAAGAAAGACAAATAAAATAATAAAAAGAGCCACCCTTTGCTTTGGTCGCTACTTTAGACTCTTGGCATTTCTTGATCCTGACAAGTGAAAACCATTTCAGGAGACTTCATCATTAGAGCTGGGTATCATTAAGAATTTGCCAATAGAATATATACGTCAATATATAGGCCACTATGCGATACATATGTCCATACAGTTTACATTCAATTCGATACAATATATTTCAAATCGATTTGATACAATTCAATAAAAAATAAAGGCTAAATCAGGGGTCTCCAACCTTTTTCCTCCAGTGAGCTACGTTTACAAAACAAAAATGCCACAGAGCTACTAATTATCTATATATATATTCATCAGCACAATTTTGAAATCCTTTGGCGAGCTACTTGGAAGGGGGTGGCGAGCTACTGGTAGCTCCCAAGCTACAGGTTGGAGACTCCTGGGCTAAATCATGGCTATGATCCTAAAAGTCTTTCTTAAACCACTTCTTGTGCAAAGTTCATATGAAACACAAACATTTTAATCCTCAAAACAATGAAAAAATCAAATGTGTCTCATAAACAAGTTTTATTCAACTAAGCAAGCAACAAAACTGTTTAAAATTTTGTAAAATACACCAAAAAATACTCTTTCCGATATATTGATACAGCAGTCCACAATATCGATACTGTATCATCACATTAAACAATCCGATATATTAATATTTCGATATTTTTGCTACATAATTCCATTTATCTTGCATTATGTATCTAAAATCTAGTGAAAATAAAGATGTGAACATTTGTGTTTTCATACTGTATGTGACCTGTGTCGTGTGCTTTTGCAGATGAACCGCTTTGAACAGTTCAACATAAACTATGCAAACGAGAAGCTGCAGGAATATTTCAACAAACACATCTTCTCCCTGGAGCAACTTGAATACAACAAGTATGAGAATATTTACAGTGATGAACTTTAACTTGGTCTTCTAGAAGAATCTCCTATGTCATTTCTGAAGGTTTTCAGAAAAATGCAAAAAGAAACTGCCTTTTTCTATTAAGGTTTTGCATCTACGTCACAAAAGCACGTGACTTGTTGTTTGTGCTGCCATATTGGAGGTCAAACTATCTATCTTGACCAATGTGTAGCATTTGTGGGCACAGAATCCCGCCCGTCCTGGTCCTCACTTTCGCCGGCATGGAATCTCCCCCTCAATTTCCACCTCCTGGGAGAGCTGCGGTTCTGATTTTGACCCCCATTCTACTTCCCCTGGCTGTTATCAGGAACAGATGTGAAGTTTGGTGATCAACAAACATCTCACATATCCTGCTACAAAAAATTTATAAGCCTTTAATCCTTGTAACTTTTCAGTTCTTGGTTAGTGTAGGACGATGTCGAGTGAATGAAGTAGTTATAAATATCTGGATATTAGTGTCAGAATTATCTATTCCACAACCCAGGAGGATAACTTTAACTTTATATCTTTTTAATGACGGCTGATCTAATGAGCTGGCGATTTCGGACAGTTTTATGTTGTTTGTGCTTTTTAAAGGAGCCATGATTACATTACAGTTTTAGTTTAATTTAGTTTACTTAGCTAACCTTAGTTTACTTATTTAGTGTCATGCACCATTTAGTTGCCTGGGCTTATAAAACACATAAAACAATAAGCAGACAAATCACACATCAAACATAAACTGTCATCTTACAGAGGTCCCAGGCTTTCAACACAAACTGAGCCAACTTGAAAACATTACATTTAAACAAATACTCCAGTCTCTCCTTATCAGACACGGCAACAAACAGTAAGACACATTAGACAACAACTGACAGAGCAGGTCATGATACAAAGGACAGTAGAACAGAAAATGCATTTCATTTTCAATGTCCTTTAAGTCACACGAACACATGTGATCCTCCTCTGGGACTGAGTGGAAGTGTCCCATCTCCAAGGCCAGAGGCAGAGTCCCACACCTCAGCTGGGCACATACTGACCTCTGACCTCTGCTCAGGTTCATGGTGACATAGGGCTCAAGACCAAAACAGGACCAAAGCAATCTTTATTGTAGTAACTGAACCTTGAGCAACCATGAACTCCAGTATGACTGCCAAAATATTCACGTGTCTGCTATGTCTCATGCAAATCCTTAATAAGATTACTTTTTTTTTTTTTTTTACTGTAAAGATCTTTTTGATTGGCTGGAGGACAGAGCCAATGACACCTACAGATATAGCAGCGTCTGGAGAGGAGAATGGAAAAACAAAATACATACATAGGCCAGCAATGTGTAAAAAAAATATATATATAACACTTTACACTTTTGAATAAATACGTTTAGATATATATTTTAGTTGCCTTTTTGGGACAATGAAACAGTCTTCTCACAAACTAAACAAGGCAGCGTGGAGAAGCTGTACTGCAAACAGACACTAGAGGGCAGCAGTTATGTTCTATAAACAGGCTGCAGTGATGGGGGTCTTTACATAAATGTGTACTATTCTTTATCACCCATGTTTTCTACTTAAGCAATTTTTGGCAACTTAAATAAAAATCTATCGCTTTTTCTTCTTTAATTTCTCGTCACTTTACAAAATGCCGCAGATATTTTGATTAATTTATTTGTTCATTTATTTATTTATTTATTTATAACAATACTGAACAGGAACAGAGAAAAATCCCGCTCACCATCTTACTTGCAAATTGTGGATTTTATTAGGACGTTAATACACAATACCAAGCAGTAAAAATACCTCAACTATGTGGGTTTTTTTTATTGTGTGTCTGTTCTCTGTACAGGGAGGGTCTGGTGTGGGTGGACATTGACTGGATGGACAATGGAGAGTGCTTAGATCTGATTGAGAAGGTACAGTACAATGAGTATTACACTAAAATACACAATACTCTAAAATGTAATTCAATACACAGATATTTTATTAAAACCTTTTGTTCTTATCGCCATAGAAACTGGGTCTGTTGGCTCTTTTGAACGAGGAGAGTCACTTCCCCAAAGCCACTGACGGCACCCTGCTGGAGAAACTGCACTGCCAGCACTCCGTATGTGGACTAGACATAAAACATAACTAAGATTCTACATTTTAATATTATTTAGGATTGACTTTTTGTTAAGAAATTTTAACATGATTATTTTTTGTTCAAGAAAAACCCATTCTATGTGAAGCCTCGAGTCGCTGTCCACTTTTTTGGAGTGAGACACTACGCCGGGGAGGTAAACACTGTGGATTTAAATGACATATTTTTATTTTATCCTTGTATATTAATGGTTTCTGTGGTGTGTTCAGGTGGTGTATGACGTCAGAGGCATGTTGGAGAAAAACAGAGACACGTTCAGAGACGACATCCTCAACCTCCTCAGAGAAAGCAGGTCAGGGACTAAAACTCTCAACAGGTCAAATTAAAAGTTAGTAATGGTTTATGGGAGAACTTGTTCAGGTCGTGGAAATACTAAATGTTCAAACAGCTTATAATGAGACTTAAAGGAACTGTATGTAGTCATAAAAAAGATACAACAGCCACAACTGAACCTGTTGCCTTAACATGCAGATAGAGACACATACAAGTTTGTCTCAGTGTCAGTTTATGGACAGACCTCATGTGAAAGCACAGAACCTCCAGAACTTCACTCATTGAGCTGCACAGGCTGCGCTAGCACTGACTCATGATTAGAGAGAGGCATTTTAGGTTCAAATCAGATGGATTCTGCATCTGTGCATTGAAACTGGTAACTCAAATGAGAAACTCCTGTGAGGTTAATTCTGCTTTCTAACTGGATAATCATCTTGAACCAAAAAAAACAAAACATATTATGACATACTGTAAATTCCTGACTATAAGCCGCTACTTTTTTCTCACACTTTGAACCCTGCGGCTAATAAAATGATGCGGTGAATATATGGACGAATTCTTTGTTTGGCACATTGTCCATTTATATTTACACTCTATGGTTTGGCAACACAGCGGATACATGCAGCCTGAGTGCAGAAAACACCACTGTTTGTGTTGTTACACATGGATCTATGGTTAGGGTTGCTAGTGATATTGTCAGCGCACTCAAATCGTGTGACAAAATAAGTTATGATATTAAATGAACATTAGTGAGGGGATACATCTTACCCGTGTGCTTAAATGACGAGAAGAAACATCTCAAACTTCACTAGCCGAACATCCACTCATACCTGATTGATAAAACTAGCCCCGCCCTCAAGAGAGTCTGAAATCTGCTGAAATCCTCCAACACACTGACATGATACAGACAGAACAGAGACTCTTTCTGCAGGAGACATGTGCGAGGAGAGACTGGGGTTAATGTTCAGAGGAAGATGTTGTTTGATTGTGTTTTGAACAGTTATTTTGCCCTTCATACACACACCCTCCTCATGGAAAACACACAAAGAAATGCAGATGATGCAGCTTTTAAGTTAAAGACAATTGATGTGACTGTGGAAGAAGGAAACAGAGCTGCTGCACGTGAACTCAGCATCAGTGAGTCGATGGTGAGATTTTGGCGACGGCAGCGTGACGAACTCAAAGCAAAAAGAACTTATTAACGTTCTTGAAGACGTGGACACCTGCGGCTTATATTCAGATGCGGCCTATATATGTACAATTTAGATTTAAAAATGTAAAAACTTAGTTCAAATTGAGTTGATGCGGCTTATATTCAAGTGCACTCACTAGTCCGGATTTTACGGTAAACAACTTTACTATCATGTCCAGTGTTTTTGTAATTAAGAATATATCAAAATTCTTGTACAAGTTTTAGCTTGAACCTGTTAACCTTGTAGCTGAGGACACAGATGGTCATGCTATTGAAAATAGAATAAGATATTTTAAATACCCTTCTTTTATGGCAATATATTACATGTATTTAAATCAATTTTTCTGATTCCATCTAACCCCACAGGCATAGACAGACACATTTAGCTGTTAAATGACCTGACCTGACTGATTGGCTGTCCTGAGTTAACCCGTCTAAACTCATGTATCTGTGTGTGTGTGTGTATATCCCTGTGTGTGTTTGTATATCAGGCTGGACTTTGTGTACGACCTGTTTGAACATGTGCTGAGTCGGAATAAACAGGACACTCTGAAGAGCAGCACTAAACACCGCCGTCCCACCGTCAGCTCCCAGTTTAAGGTCAGTCCCACACACATCTACACTGCACCAACTCATCTGTACCACATGAACTTTTATTATATGTGCTCTCCATTCACACCGGCACTGGTACACACATCCATGCCGGTGTCTGTAACTCATGGACAAGCTGGTGGACCGATTTCTCCATGAATTTCTGTGAAGCCTTTCAGTTTTTAAGTTAACCACGTTTGTTTTCTGCTTCTATATGGTGATTCTAAATAAACATGATCATAAACACAAAAACATTATTCACTTCAATTCATGTTTATTTCTATAGCACATTTAAAACAACTTCAGTTGACCAAAGTGCTTCACATACAAGTCAACATACGTAGAAGAAACAGTTACATATACAGATATACAGAAAACATGTGAAAACTGCAATAAAAACACCAAGGTAACCTGACTAACTCGTACTAAATGCCAGGGAGAAGAGGTGAGTTTTCAGTCTCGTCTTAAACTGCGTTACAGACTGAGAGGATTTGACAGGAAGAGAAAGGCTGTTCCACAGTCTGGGCGCTGCCACAGAAAAAGCTCTGTCACCTCTCGTCTTGAGCCGAGTTTTGGGCTCGACCAACAGGAGCTGGTCGGCTGATCTCAGGGCTCTGGGCGGAGGACAGGGCTGCAGTGACTCCCTCAAATAGACTGGACCCATAGAGTGCAAACATTTGTAAACAATTAATAACATTTTAAATTGCAGCCGATATAAGACAGGGAGCCAGTGCAGGTCACACAGAACAGGTGTGATGTGTTCATGTTTCTTAATTGTTTTCTCTGCATTTCTATGGTGCAGGACTCTCTCCACTCTCTGATGGCCACTCTGAGCACGTCTAACCCATACTTCATCAGATGCATCAAACCAAACAGCCAGAAGGTAAGATCTCTGTCCAGAAGCACATGATCTGTAAACTCATCTCGTATCTATTCTGGAAAAGCATCATCACATGCAATTTCAATGTTCAATATGACTGGACATACTTATGGTTAAAGGTTCACCATGAAATGTTTTTTGCCACGTGCTTGTCTCCATGGAGATGTTATAGCTTTATGTTCCAGAGTATCACAGTGAACGTATTCTGCATTTATTCAATGACACGTATTTTTATTGGTCAAAATACCTTGAAAAGCCATGCATTGTTACTTTGACCATGGATGCCACTCCACAGATCTGATCTGTAACATGACCTGGTGATGTTACCTGCTTGTCTGCATGGAGATAGATCACTTAAATGTCATATGGTAGACTAAGGTACAGAGTTCACCTTTAAAATGATCCTCTGATCCATCTCCATTGCACCAATCCAGTCATTAGAACAGTGACTATGTTAATACTTTGCAGATGATGTCGTTATCATTTTCTGGGCTTGTGATGCTAACTTTGGGACTGCTGTGTCTGAAGCTCTGTTACTCAACTCAAATTCAATTCAGTTCAGTCTTTATTAAGAACACGTAATATCTGGTTCATAGTATTAAGAAGAAAATTGTAAGAATAAAAAAAAAAAAAGTAAATATACAGTGCATGTTATAATGTTTACAGACAAGAACTCCAGTGTCTCCACAGCTCAGAGGTGAATCTGACAGAGCTCCTCACAGACACACTAGAGCTTGAATGATTTGATTGCTCAGATTCATGGTTCTACACATAAATGAGTAAATACAACATCTGATTGTGACGACACAGGGTCTCACACCACAATTTACAAACCTTTCACTGGCGCTACAAAACCTTGGCACTTTCAGTAATATCTTCAAAGAGTCGTTATAGGCTACTGTCAAACTCTACAAACTCTTTTTCTTGCAGGAAAGAATAGCTTTTTGTCCTCAAACTTTAATCTGAGTTTTATTTTAAAGTTGGGTGTACCCTGTGCGATTTTTGACCCTTTTTGAGAAAATGTTTCACTCATGCCATTGTTTTTGGGATCAGGATGATTTTTTTCTTAATTGTGTGTTGTGCTTCATTTAGTTACATGGGGTAACGAGAATTGATTAATACCTAATGACCAGCTCCTGATCGGTAATCATAGGTCACAAGAATATCAAAGCTGTTTGAAATCCAGTCGCCTCTCGTGAGGGTTTTGCACTGTTGAAGTCGTTTGTGTAGGGTGAGAACATGAATCATGAGCTGTAAACTTTTAAACCCTGAGATTTGGTCGTACAGTTTGAGCTGGATCTGAGTGAAACCATCGAAAATATCACACATTACACATATGGCATAAGACAATCTGACCAGAAAATACTGACTTAACTGAAACTCCACAGGTGAACTGATTAATACTGTTACACAAATCTCTCACACAATATTACACCCATAAGCTTGTGAGCATTTGCCTACAGTTTTTCACTCGTCACTCTCACCTTCTGGTTGAAAATCTAACACCTAAACAGGATTCATTTGGTATTTTAAACCTGTATTGTATCTTAAAGCTTATTTGGCCGTGTTTGCTAATGGGTGCATTGCGTATCCATGGTAACTCCTAAACATTACACCAACAGAGAACATGTAGAACGCCCCTGTCATGATGTCACTGCAAAGTATCAATATTGACAGAGTGAAGCGGCCTGTGCTCAGACCTGACTCAGTCCTGTTCTCTGTTGTGTTCTTACTCGCCGTTAATCCCCATCCTTTTCTTCCTCGTCTTCCTCGTCTTCATCGTCGGATCACTCACTACAGTCATAAATCGCCCGTGTGAGTGTTTGATAGCCTCAGACAGGAGCGAGGGGGGCCAGTCTGCACCGCTGACCCCTGACCCCGGTTACCTAGCAACAGCGGAGAATGCAGGTTAATGTACACAAATGGCGCACGGGCCGGAGGAGCGGAGGGCCCTATTGTCCGACTCCCAGCATGCACTGCACATTAACATCATTTAGCATAATATTAATGAGCGATTATGCAGATCAGGTCATTCATCATTTTTGTTGTTTCATATTCATAAACAGATTAAAATTTCTGTTCACAATCTCACATTCCCATGAGCCTGACAGCTGGACGTCTGAACCAAGCTAGAAGTGAAAAAATAAAAAAAATTAAAACCTAAATTATGCAAAATGTATTCATGTGAGCTTTTAGACATGCTAGAATACTGTTACTAGTCTGATTCATCAGACGTTTTCACTTCGTAGAAACTGTCTGACAGTAGGCAGGCACGTTTTTTTTATTTAACCAATCGCTGCTGTTTGGTCGTGACGTATGTAATGCTCCGCTAACAGGGTTAACTGGTATATTCAACTTTTCCCAAATCCCGTAGGAAGAAGGACAATAACGTCTTTCCCTTTGATAAAATTCACCAAACATTCTCTTTGTTCCGGCTTTAAATCCTCGATCTCAGGAATCGTTGCCAACACAGAATGTCTGGCTCTTGGCTGATCGGCTGGTGCCTGGACTCACACTTTTGGAGTTCTTGCAGACCGTCTAGTGCAGGGGTGTCAAACTCATTTTGGTCCGGGGGCCGTATCCAACCTAGGGTTCGGATCAGAAAACTCATGGCATATATCCCCCAAAAATAGCAATAAGTTCAAATATTTGTGCAGAGAAACACAAATCTATTACAGAAATCTTTTTTAATTGACGAACTCTTACAAAATATTATTATATTATTTAAAAAAATGCAATTTCAACACAAAGTTTTAACTTGTATGCAAACAGGAATAAATAAATTTTTCTTGGAAAATTCTGCACTCGGCTCCACTTTTCTCATTTTGGACATTTTTCTGATGAGGGTGTCACGGTTAACAGTCAAAACGATCGTCCTTAAAGAGCGTTTGGAAAGACACAAATCTTTGTGCTGCTCTGGTGGGAGGGGTACAGAGACGCTGGAGACGCTGCTGTGATAAACACCACAGAAAATTACCAATATTTTAATATATAATATAATTCAAATATTTTAGTAGAAAATCAGCTGTGGGCCAGATTAAAGGTGTTGGAAGGCCGGATCTGGCCCCCGGGCCGTATGTTTGACACCTCTGGTCGAGTGTATTCTGATTCCTGACCTAGTCACTGGAGAGAAATACTATGCTGTTACCTCCTTAAAAACAGACCTGAAGTTGTTTCATGTTTGGAGTTTTGTTTCATTTACACATGTTTGAGTTATTCTGCATTATTAGTCTGTCTACATCTAAAAAGCTCAAAATGCTCTGTGCCAACTTGTGATGTCATGAAGCAGTAGTTTTCAAGTGAACAGCTCCTTTTACGTTTAGTTCAGTAGAGATTGGCAGTTCTAGGGCTGAAGTCATCTAAACGATTCTAGTGAAGGTGTGTGGAGTTTAAACACACAGTGGAGCACTTGTTTTACCACATGACATCACAAGTTGGAACAGAGGGTTTTCAGTTTGAGAGAAGAACTCAACCTAAATTTGAAGAGTTTGTGTGTTAAACATGAGTGAATGAAAAAAAAACAGACAAATCGAGATTTGTTTTTAAAGAGGAAGCAACATTTTAACATAATTAGGCTTTGTTTATATGATGATAGTCTGAACTGAAGACCCAAAAGTGGCGTCGTGTCTTCACTTTTTATTCTGCGTTTACGCAAGAATAAAAAAGGTAAAAGTGTGTGGAATTCGATTGAGTATGCATGCCAGGTTTCTATGTATGTGATGTAAACATGTACGTGACGTGAGCAGATCTGACCAGAGTTTTGTGTCTTGGCCAGTGTAGATGGAAACGCTACAACAGAGCGTATTCAACTTTTCCACTCTGGAGGGTGGTTTCAGATTTTTGCATTTTTAAACCCCAAAAACGCCGTCACTGTCTAAACAAAAGGCACTTCCAATGAAATATTTTTTGTGTTTACCCACAAGTGTTTTCGTGTAAACCCTCAGATCCAAAAAGAGATTCTAACAGAGCAGTGCCTTCGGTCAGTTTCAATAATCACATAACACATAAATGTTCTGTTTTGGCCAAACGAGTAAGAGTACATTTGCACATTTTCCAGTAGAAATTTAAGATAAAAGATTAAATTAACTGTTGCTCGAGTCAAGGTTGAATTGGCCTGGCTCGTACTGGGACCAGATTAATTATGAATCTTTTGTCAGGTCTAAATTCCTGCATTCCAAGGTTCACTGGAGCATACCACGATATTTTTTTTTTGCCCTTTAGTTACGCCAAATATTTTTCAATAGTAATTTCTGCACGGACACGCCCCCGCCCATCACCATGACAACAGAATGTCAGACGCGCGCTTTTGTTCCACGAGACAGCTCCCCTCGTTTCACTGTCGGAAAACTAACCAGCGTGATTTGTACCAGTCCAGTCATCCAATCACTCATCGATTTGTGGATCAGAGTCACCCAGCGGTCACAAACAAAATCAACACACTGCCAGAGGACTACAACATAACATATTTTAATTTATACTCTTCATTTTGTACAGTTCAAGGTGTACTTTTTTTTGTGATCTTTCTGGCAAGCATTGTGATAAGATTACATTTGCAATTTATGTTTTAATAATTAGATTCTGTTCAAAGTGTCAAGGAGAATTGACAAAAACGCTGAAATATGAACTGATAAACTAATACAAGAATGACATTTCAGAACATGTTTGCACAGCTCTGAACTACAGGGTTAGCAGTTCCTATGCTGATGAAAACAAAATATTTATTTGTTGTCTATGGAGGAAATAATGCGACTTTAAAAATGTGCTAATTGGATCCATTCAAATTGCTTTTTTGATTTGATTGTGATTAATATTGCAGATCTACTATCAACCCTAAGCAGCTAAATCTGGAAAAAATCATCTTTGGACCCAATCTAATGCATTTGTACAGGGTCACAGATAAATAAAAAATAAACAAAAGGCGATTGTTTGTATTGCTATTTACAAGGGATGGTATAAGAGACAAAATTGCCACAAGATCGTGCACATACGAGAAAAATGATCTC